TTACAAAACATTATAAAGTAATATAGCTGTGATGCTCACCATAACTAGAGGACAGAGTAAGATCAAAATCTGAGTCAAACAACTGAGTTATGATGAAATAAGTGAAAGAACGTTACATTGATTGATGACACAGAGTCACTGTGGTCCATTTTCACATGCAGCTCTCGTGCATGTTGGCTCAGGAGGCGTCGGCTGCTACAGGTTGGGCAATCCAGGGCTTAGTTCCATGATTTTATTACTTTCCTTACAGCCACATGACGACGACTCGTCTTTTGTCTACAAGTTAAAGGAGTGAGGCGACCGTCGTCTTCCATTGATCGCTTCCTTAGTCCTTCCTCCATAGTTTTGCTTTCAGTTGTGGGGCGGTCCTCTGCTCGTCTGTCCTCATGCCTCCCTCGTTCAGGAAGTTTTTAGGCTTTGTCCCGTCCCTAAAATTTCACCGGCTCCACAACAACACAAACAGATGATCTGCTGCAGGTTTCAGGATAAATCGAATTTTAAAAAACGAGGAAATCTCCAAACCAAAGCTGGTGAGCTTCTGTTCTCGTAAAGCAAGAAATTCCTTTTCATCTGTAAGCATGTGGCTCTCTGTCTATTTTTTGCTTTCGTCTTCTTTGTCCGTTCGAAAATAGGATGTAAAGTCACTTAGCAGCCTAAGGTAAGCCTCTTTTGACCCATCCCAGGACAGTAACACCCAGTAAGACCAAACAATCACACTCGGATAGAAGCAGACTTTTTTTAAGACAGGCTAAATCAGAGAGGAAAAGAGGATTGGGCACGACAGAACAACTACTGGTATCAGTGTGAATACACAAAATTAGACAACACTTCCCTGAAGCAAACCAAAAAAAAAAAAGAACAACAGGTGTGTTGTTGTGCAACGTGTTGTCTGTTTTAATTATTTACTCTTCACCATTAAAGGTGAAAAACTAAAGCCTCTTTCATCACTTGGTAATGCTTTCTTTTACGGTACCCTTATTACCATGTAATTACGTAGCAATTAGGGTACAGTTTTACTATGTAATTAATTGTCTGCAGTAATGTAGCACTAACCTGGTAATGTATTACAATTCACTTTGTAACACCTAAAGAAGCAGTAGGTAATTTAGATGGTTTTAAAGTTATATTTTATTGCAATTAACCACTAACCCCAAAATTTAGTTGCATTCTTTTGGTTATAAATATAGTGTTGAGTTACTATTGAATAGTAATTTGATTGTAGTTACCCAATAAAGGTAGTTTTACTAACAGTAAGTTTTCTTTTGTACCCTAATTCCCACGTAATTATATGGTAAAAAGGTAGTAATTACATTTATTACCATTTTTAATTACCTTGTAATTACATGGTAATAAGGTAGTAATTACATTTACCATTTTTTCATTACCTTGTAATTACATGGTAATAAGGGTACCATAAAAGAAGTGTTACCCATCACTTTACGTATTTACTCACCGCAAAGCGCTGAACCTGCTTTATTTTAATTTCTAAATACTTATTTGAAATCTTTAATTTTGACAATAATCTTGAAGCTAAACTCTGATTGGTTCTCATTTGTTGGATCTTCTAGTAATAAAGTTTGAATTCAAGCTTAATAAAAAGGTTTCATGTTATTTAACGAGTTTTACACAAGGAGGAGCAGTAATCTTATGTTCTCGTCCTCAGTGACCATCATCTCGTTTTTAATCAATTATCTTAATCCGGTTAATCAGATTAAGCAACTGAACGTGAGTTGGGATCCCTGTTGTCTGTTTCAGGATATGTCAGGACACTTCAGAAGATTTCACTGGCCAAATTAATGGGTTTGGGAGTTTTTGGAGGCAGGTAATGGTTTTCAATGTCACAAGGTTGCCTCTCTTTAAGCTGTTCAGGTCAGGATGGAAACTTAGCCTATGAAGGCTAATGCGGATTTTCACCTGAAGGAATGCAATACTCTGTTAGATTAGTGTTAAAGGAGACATGTCCTGCTTTTAAATCCTTCTTATTTACATTTACATCATTCAGTTGGGGTCTATAGAAAGTGGAAATCCTCCTTACTGTAACTCCACAAGCTCCTCTTTCACCCCTTTTCTGAGATGTGTCTCAGATCAACTCGTTTTGAGGCTGTCTCTTTAAACCCAAACGAGGTGCTTCAAACCCCGCCCCCCTCCAGCTTCCAGAGTGGCCCATTCTAGTTTGATAGAGGGGTTTCCGACTATATAGCTGCACAGAAACTTTTTATTTACAAAGAAATTAAAAGATGTCAACAAGTGAAGACTTATCCATCCAGCCAGAATGTGATCCAGAGCCAGTGGAGAATGAAGACCACCAAACTGTAGTAGGTAAGTCCAGACCTTAATTAGCAGTTCTGTCATAAAAAATGGTTGTAACAGTTCAAAAAAAAAACCATAGAAAGTTTTAAAAAAATTTGACGCAAACAGAATATAAAGATATCTACTCAGCACTAAATTCTAATTTTTTGCACTCCTAGAGACTCAAAATCGCTCCCAAACCCAGCCAGTCGAGGCAGATCCCAAGCCTGGTACTGATGGAGTTTTTCCTCTCCACTGTCACCAATGTGCTGCTCAGGATGAGAGACTGTAGCTATGTTTACATGCACAAAATTTTTTGATMGGAYTGAAATGTATTCGGATTAAATAATCCGAATGTACTGTTTACAAGGACACAATCCGATCATGACAAGTGTTTACATGCACCGCACAGTGTTGTAAACTTTCAGCTCTACCTCCGTGTTACAACCATATACAAAGCTCTTCTGTGCACTCAGGACGGACCCGTGCCAGTTTTTAATAACGGTAGAGACGTCGTTTCTTCCCGGTTGAGCTGCAGACGAAGCAGTACGTGTTTTTTATTTTTATTTTTTGCGAAGCACCATCTGCTGTTTGTCTCCTTTTTCATCTGTTGAGAGCGTGGGGAAAAGTTCTGCGCGGCGCAGCGCAGCTGAAAACTACAGCGATGCTGCCCCGCCTCCTCTACAGAGCAGAAAGTCAGAAGACCTGCACACTCAGGTCAGTTTTCCACAATCAGAATAAGATGATCCGATTGTGTTTACATGCACGTCATTCCGATTATCAATCGGCATAACCCACCTCTCTCGTTCACATTAAAAGTTCATTCGGATCGAGCTCAATCGGATCAGAATAGTCGGAACGGGCTGTTTACATGACGCATTTTTATTCCGAACGGCCGTTTAATCCGATTACTTATGTCCATGTAAATGTAGCTTGTGACGAAGTGATTCAACACAATCTGCTGGTTTCTTTAGATTTGTTTTTTGTGTGTACAGTGCCCTGACACTATATAAATAAACAGAACTGAATTGAACAAAATGCATTTAATGGCTTAAAAAGTGGATTTTGAAGGATATGTTTCCTTTAATACCAAGCAAGTTGTAAATATATCACCACAAAACCCCCAAATCATTAAGTTTGTTAACCAGGTTTTATATTTGCTGCTTTTATTTTATTTTGCTAAACTGCATCTAAAATCGTACAGTTCACAATTAACTTAAAATGTTTTGTCAGTGTTGAGTTTTGTGATTTATCAACTACTGAAAAACACGGATGTGAGTCCGTTCAGTGAGGTGATAGTTTGTAAAGTTTAGAATCTGTTTGACAGTATGCAAACTTAATGAAGAAAAGATGGAGGCAAAGGTAAAGAAGGTGTAATAATTGATGTAAATTTACAACTGTTATCTTGCTGGTGTCAAGATCCACCTTTAAGATCAAAATGTCAAATTATTTGGAGGTTTCTCTATAAATGACAGAGATGGTTTGGTTCGAACAGATGATTGCGTCTCACCTTCGTAGTGAGGATACAGATGCAGTCCATCCTCACCGATCCACCGGCCAAACTTTAAATAAAACCTCGTCCAGGTCCAGCTTCTCCATTCTGCCACTCAGCCACTTGTGACTACTGATAGCATCCTTTTTTTGTCTCCTGTCTGCCTTTGTTTCATCCTTTTCTCTCCTCTTCTCAGGCCATCTCCACCTGTCCCTCCATCGGCGACGTCAGAACGAACTGCTGCGCTGGAACAGAGGCCAACCCGCAAACCGTGGCAGCTGTCCACCCGCTCTCCTGTTTCCCAGCTGCTGTCTTCGTTTTAAGGCAGCTGGTTTCCACGTTTTGACCTCACGGAGTGCATGGCTCCGAAATATTTACACATTTCCATATAAATATATCTGCGTACGCACGCGAACCACACTCCACACGTTAAAAAAGGGGCAGCATCTCGAGACTGATGCAAGAACACACACACATTCAGAAACAGACGTGTGTACACTGACAAGAGCATGCACAAAAATTCATATGCTACACGCAAACCACTCTCCACTGCTTTATCAGGTCAGGTTTCTGGCAGAGTGGGGTTAGACTGAGTGAACAGTGACAGCTGTATGGCAACGGATGCTCTACTTTCAACTTGGTGGATATTTGTGTGTTCAGAGCTACATATGAAGCTTTATTTCATACAGGAACTGATTCTTTTTTACTTAATCTCTCAACACAAAGCATTACTGTAGCAAATTTAACGAACACATCATTTAATCCACAAAGAGAGGCTGTTATCTGCTTTCAAGAAAATGATCTAAATGCATCAACCTGGTTAATTAGCAGTTCTGTGTTTTGTTCTGTGGCATCACAACAGTTAGGGTTCCTCATAACCCATTAAAACTTAATACAGCATGAGGTTTAGTTAAAGGGATCCACGATTAGTTGTAACATTAAACTTTATTTGATAAACATATATTTTAACTGTAAAATAAAGACTGTAAAAATACTGTAGGCTGTTTAGTTTTTATCATTTTTAAACTAAAATTTTAAAAATATATTACTGAAATAACTATAATTGCTATTTTTCATTTTAGGACTCTTTCCTCAAAACATGAGCTGTCACTCATAAAGGAGACAGTCCGCAGCTCCCTCAACTATCAGCTAAAGGGATAAACTCTGTAAGGTTGCTTTTTTTTTTGGCATAACATAAAATAAAAAATCGATGTCTTACTTTGTTGTGGGACAGGGGGCTCGTAGCAGGCCTGGAACCAGTGCCGGGGCTAGTCGATGTGATCTTTGCTGATCCAGGGCTGGTTGGACTGAAAACAGAGATCAGTGAGGGAAGATATCTGCATGCAAACTCTGAAAACTGTCAGTGCTGCTGCATATTTATTTCAAAACAGTGGCATGCATTTATTTTTTATGCACAATGTAAGTGTTAGCTAAACTTATACACTGCCCTAACAAAAAAAAGTGTCCACCTGGATTTAACTACGATCTATTATGTGGGGTTGCTGCAGTTGGTCAGGGCTAGTTTCAACAACAGTTTGTGCTCAAAGAATGAGGTAAGCTGACTACCTGAATATACTGAATGACCATGCTATTCAGCATGAGACATCATTTTCACACATGATTGGCTCCACAAAGTCCATTGAGAATGTTTGGGACGTACTGGAGAAGGTCAGACTCTACCGTCATCAATGCGAGATCTTGGTGATAACTGAATAAATTAACGCAACACTGGATGGAAATAAATCTTGGTACATTGCAAAAGCTTATTGAAACAATTTCACAGTGAATGAGTGCCGTAACCAAAGCTAAAGGTCCAACAAAATATTAGAGTGTGGGACCTTTTTGTTTTGGTGGCGACTTTCTTTTTGGTCAGGCAGTGTATGGTCATAGGTTTGGTTAAGATAATAAAAGTGTAATACCAATAAAAAGAAACAACTAAGATCTGTTAAAATTCTCTTCTTTTCATTTCAAAGTCTTTTAAAACCACTCTTACAACTCTTGTTGAATAATGCAGAAATGTAAAGAACAAACCTCAGAGGTGGTCCTTTGTTTAACTTGGACGACGGACTTTTAGGACTCTGGATCTCAAAGGGGAATTTTCCACCGGGGCTCGTTGGACTCTTGCTGGCACTGCCTTTTCCCAGTTCTGAGTCTTTGCTGGTTAAAGCGGGTTTAGAAACTGTGGCGGCTCCTGAGACTGGACTGAGACTGGGACTGGGGATGGTAGGACTGGCTTTGCCCGGAGAGGTCGGTGAAACGAGGCCTTGAATGGAGCTGGAGACGAGCGCGGAGATGGTCACCAGATTCAGGTCCAGGGGGGAAGGAGGTTTTTGTGTACTCGCCGAAGCTTGTGGCTGCATTCCGTTTAGGGACACTCCTGGAGTCGTTTTTTGGGGGGTAGAGGGGGCGTCTACGTTGCTCACAGTAAAACTGGAGGAAGCAGCGGCAGAGGGTGAACAGGTTTTGGATGGTGAGGAGCGTTTGGACAGTTCTGACTCTGCTGATGTGGACGCTCCAGGTTGGACAGGAGGAAGGGGAGCACGGTATTTGACTTTAGTGGACCGGGACGGTGGGGAGCCTGGCTGCGATGCGGGGGAAGGTGGCGTTTTTGCAGGGGTCACGGTTGGAACAGGTGGTGCGGGGGATTTTATAGACCTGGGTTTGGAGGACACAGATGTTGGTTTAGATGGTGCCCCTGAAGCTTGGGGGCTTAAAGGACCAGGGGGAGTTTGCTGCTGGGCTGGGGGTTCTGCTGACAGGTTGCAGGGAGAGGAGAGGTTCTCAGGACTTTCTTTCTGGTCCACAGAGGTCTTGCTGTCTTCTAGGATGGTCAACTCATAGTACTCCTGGATATCTACGGAAAGATTAGAACCATGAATAACTAAAAGTTGTGGTTTAGTTAAGGTCGTATCTCACTGGGCTGCGACTGCTGAAGCTGGCTTTGTCGCTTGAACTTGAAAAAGTTTGTAAATTGTCTCTCAAGATAGTCAGAGTCGTCACGAGTGTCTCAACTTAGAGATGCATTTTGACACCTCTACTCTGACAGAAAACATGACAATTTACAGAAATGAAAACTGAACACTAGGGCTGCCACGATTAATTAGTCGACGACTAATCAATTATTAAAATAGTCGATGAATAATTTATTAATCGATTAGTCATTTTTGTTGTTGTTTTTTTTAACTTTGTTTTTCTCTCCAAACTGCTTTGACACCTTCCACTGCCACATCTGCCTTTCTGTCCTTGACACACATGCACAGTAGTGGTAACTGGGTAGGCCGTGGACGTCACAAGACATTATACAGACAGGCTCTGGTATCATGGCTACCCAGCAACGGAGCTCAAAAGTGTGGGATCATTTTAAGAAAATGAAAGAGAAACCTGTGTAATATCTGCAGAGCAGAACTTGCCTTCCACAGTAATTATTTTTAGTTAGCATATAGCTAAAACTAACCATGGTTATATAATAGCAGCTGCATTCTGGTGCGATAAGCTTATATTCAATTAACGTATGATCTGATTAGTCGACTAATCAAAAAAAGTAATCGGTGATTAATAAAAATAATAATTTGTGGCAGGCCTACTGAACACTTTGGGAAAATCCTTATTAAATACAAAGGCAAACTAAAAATCAAAGCGTACGTTATTCAGTTAAACACTTTGAGCAAGCTGTAAAGTTAAGCCCAGACTTCTGTAAATCTCAGGGTATCAGCAGAGCTCAAAGCCAGCCTACATCTGCTGATCACTTGGCACTCACTCAGTGAATCTCACACGGGACACGCTTAAGCTGATTTATCTTCCCCACCTATGCTGCTGTTCCGTTTGAAGCCACGTTGCTCGACTCGTAATCAGACGTGGTCGTTCTACAGTTGTCACTGGTTCCATTTTGTTTCTTTTGTTTTTTTATTACGTTACTGTTTTTGTGTTCTAAAAAGGGGGTCTTTGTTAGTACTCGTCCTTCCACCTCAGACAAACATTTTCTCAGTGAAGAGCTGACAGAATCCAGAAACAGCACTCAGCACACTTTAAAGAAGCATCATGCTTTTAAATCCGTCTTATTTAAACGTAAATTATTCATTTGGGGTCTAAATAAGGGGGAACTGCAATGCTTTGGTTTTAACTCCACCTCATTGTAACACCACAAGCCCCTCTTTCACACCTTTCTCAGATCAGCTCGTTTTGAGGCTGTCTCTTTCGATCCAAATGAGGTGCTTCAAACCCCGCCCCCCTCCAAGCTTCCAGACCAGATTCACTCTAGTTCAGTACAGGGGTTTACGACTATAATGCAGCAAAGACACATTTTATTTGCAAATGAATTAAAAGATGTAAACAAGAGAAGATTCGTTCATCCAGCCTTACATGTTGGACCCAGAGTCTGACCCAGAACCAGAGAATGAAGACCACCAAAATATAGTTGGTAAGTCCAGACCTTGTTAGTCAGTTTTGTCACAAATACTGTGACGTAATGGTTCAGAAAACATCATATAAAATAGAGAAAACTGAACATAATATGACCCAAACAGAAAATAAAGATAACTACACAGCACCAAAAGCAATTAAATTGAGATTTTCTGCACTTCTAGTGACTCCAAGTCCACAACAAAAAGCATTTAATGGCTTAAAAGGTGGATTTTGCAGATATGTCCTGTTTAAGGTCATTGGAATATTTTGAACTAAAAAAGTCTGTGTTAAAATTTGGATCAAAAGGATTTTTTTCACTGCAAAAAAACAAATAAATAAAGTATCCCTTTAAATTACCAGTTAATATATTAGACTATTTAGACTTTTTCTTTTCCTTCTGTACTGCTTATTTGTTCATCTTGGGTTGTTGTTTTTTTTTTTTTTTGATCATTGGAAACAAGAAAGTGCAGAAAATAAATGAGAAAATTATTTGGGGGCTCCATGAAACAGTGCCACCCATAATTCAATATGCTGACTGAGCCGCTTCATAGAAACGAGTAGAAATTATTTTTAAACTATAATTTGAGTCCAAATAACGCCAGGTTACACCATTCTAGAAGAGGATCCTCAAGTGTTTTATAAAACTAAAGCCATCAAAAAAATAAATTAATAAATAAATAACACACTGAGGCCCTCACACTGAGGCCCTCTAGTGTCAGCACAAGGGTATTGCACATGCAACCAATATAAAATAGTCAAGTTTCTACTTTTTCTAAAGGAATATTGAATTAATTATTTGACTTTTTTAAGTTGTCACACTGACTGATTATATCAAGATGAGAGCTATGGTTTGACATTTCACTTCCCTCTTTGTGCATAAAGACCTGACAGGCAGTTCAGTAATAAATCAGAGGTATTTCAATATCTGCAAAACAAACTCAGGCTGCCAACTTAGATAAAACTATACGATCATAAAGAGGAAGGAACAAGTGACACATCTGGGGTTTTAGGGGACAGTCTAAAATGAAAGGAATGAGAGCAGAATGACCAACAATGGTGACGTAAATAAGTTAAAAAGGAGACTTTTTTAAATAAACATCATAAATAAAACCCAGTCAAAGGTCAGCAGAAACAGTGTGTTGTGTGAACAACAGACACACATGCACTCAGTGTGAGGTGAAGATGCAGATGACTAAAGAAGGTGGAACAGGAACCAAAACCAGTTTGTTGTCATTCTCAGAGCCGTGAATCCTTTTTAAAAATCACCTGTAAACAACAAACATCTCAACGTTCAGCTTAACTTCTCTAAATAATGAATAAACCAGTTTGCAACTTCTAAATGTGAAGACACTTTCTACAAACAGCTGTTATTTATTATTATTTTATGAAACACACCTACCGGTATTTGCTTTGGTGTTAGCTTTTAGATGCAGAATCCAAATTTCAATATTAAACACATTATTCTTGACATTTAAAAAAGAAACTGTTGTTTTTCTTGCGCTCTTTTGTCTTCGGCTCTAATCTGGGATCGAATTTTTGGCTTCAACCATTTACAGACACACACACAGCATTATAACTGACAAACACACCTTGATTTACTGCATCAAACTTAGCGAAACAAGCCCGGGGGCAGAAAAGTTTATAGAATACCAGGAGTAACAGAAATGTTCTCATTACCCATGCAGGATAATTCAGACTGTATGTGTTTTTACATTTAGCCAAATGGGTCATTTTGTTAGTTGTTACTATTTAAAGTAGACATATCCTGCTTTTTAATCGTTCATTTTCATATTTAAATTATTCTTTTGGGCTCTTTATAAAGTGGAACTACAACACTTTGGTCTGAATTCCTTCTTATTTTAACTTTACAGCTCCACTTCCACCACTTTTCTGAGGTGTGTCTCAAAGCATCTGGTTTTGTTGCTGTTCCTTTAAAACACTTCAAGCCCCGCCCTCTCCGGCTTCCAGACCGGTCCACTCCAGTTTGAGAGGAGGGGTTACGTTTTCTAGATTTCAGACATGTTTTATTTACAATTAAATTAAAAGATGTCAACAACAGAAGACTTGTTCATCCAGCCTTACATGTTGGAACCAGAGTCTGACCCAGAACCAGAGTCTGACCCAGAACCAGAGTCTGACCCAGAACCAGAGTCTGACCCAGAACCAGAGTCTGACCCAGAAGCCAGAGGAGAATTAAGACGAGGAAATCATAGTTGGTAAGTCCAGACCTTATTTGGTAAGTCCGTCGCAGATAATTTGACGCAATAAGACTCAGAAAACATCATAGAAAATAGAGAAAACTGAAAAAGCTGAAAAATATCCGAACAGGATATAAAATATATATTTGAAGAACCAGGAGAGACTAAATTCAACATTTCTGCCTCCTAGAGACTCCAAGTTCACAACAAAATGTATTTAACAGCTAAAAAAAAGCGGATTTTGCGTGACAGGTCCCCTTTAAACACTTGGACCTCACATTTGCCAGGATCAGTCACTTTTCCTAAAATAAAAACATTTCTTGTTCTGTATTTAAAGAAAACCAAGTGTAACATCTTAACTAAGCTGCCCACATCTTACCAAGTAGAGCACTGAAGAGTTTGCTTTGGAAGACATTAATGACTCTGTCCAGAGACTGCTGCAGCTGGCGGTCCTCCTCCACCGGACCCTGTTTCGCTCGGTTCTGGTTCTGCTGCCTCTGGTCCAGTTTGACTCGATACTGCTGGAGCAGCTCCAGGGCTCTCTGAGCATCTTTAGACAACAAATAAAGGACGTCAAATACGACATCAACACCCCTCCAAACACTTGAAGTAAAACAAAAAAAAATACCCTGTAACAGGGCTGTGTATTGGCAAGAATTTGGCGATATGATACATATCATAACAGAGGGGTCACGATACGATATATCCCGATATATTACGATACTGTAAGCAAGGCAATATGTTGCGATATATTGCGATTTTTTTGTTCAAAAATTCTATTAAATAAAAACCTCTTACTGAAAAAAAAAAAAAAGAAAAGCTAATGTTTACTTACAATGCTAATGCTACACTTACTCTCTGGCGCTCAAGAGGTAGAGGAGCCAAATGKCTGGCTCACTGCTGCCAACTAGTGGTCAGAGGCTGAACTACAACATAAAAATGAAYGGYTGGCAAGAARGTTGACATTTTAAAVMTTVATTAAAAATCGATACAGGGCTTTAGAATATCGATACAGTATCAGGAAATGAAATATCGCGATATTTCAGTGTATCGATATTTTCTTACACCCCTACCCTGTAATACAGTCTCCAATTAGCTAAATATCTCATGAACGACAGAATGGATTTTAAAACAATCTTCAGCCTGTTTTTATTGGATGTTTACATCTTTAACTGATTCACTTAAAGTCAAACTGATTCAAGATGGCTGCCACAGCTAAGCACACGAAAGTAATACGAGAGATTATAACATCACAGTTTGGCCAAATCCTTTAACTCTATTTGCTTTTCCTTATAAAACTCTGGCATGAAGTCTGGTGGGTGATATGCATTACATTAAGGCAGAGGTTCTCAAACTGGGGTCCCTGGACCCCCCCAGGTGTCCGCAAGAGGTATCCTGGGGGCTCCTCAAAAAGTTTTACTAAAATGTTAATTTGGTTTTTCTTTATAAAAATGCACGGAGAACAATGAACTAATAAAACAAACATCATAAACTTAATAAAAATATATATTCCCGTGGCATTTAGGGGTTGAAATGACAATAAATTATCATTTAAAACAGCATGGGGTTTATGAGGGGATCCCTGGATTTGATTTTATTTATTTTTTGTCCTTGTAAGGGACTTGCGAAGCCCTGCTTTAAGGAATTTTAGGTGTTTAATTAAAGTATGGATAACTGTGCTCAGTTATTTAAAGACAAGTTGACTTGGCTCCATTTATGAAGCATGGGAACCTTGTGTAATATTCTCAATCTTCTGTTTTTTTTTACTTGTTTAACTAAAAACTGTTTCTGTTCAATTTCACTGGTCTGTTCCCAGAGCGTGATTTGTTATAAAACCGGAGGTGTCAAATAGCTGAAGTGCAAATAGTTTACCTTAACAGAAGTTTTATATATTAATTACTGGAGTTATTCTTTTTCAGCCAACTTTTTTACTTCCTGTGATGTGTATGTATTAGCATATGTTTTATAATAAAGTATATGATTGAGATACGATGTGCAAAGGGGAGATGTAAAGACCTCGGTTTTTGTTTTAAAAGAAATGTATATTTTCTGTTTACTTTTCTGATCTTTTTATTGTTTCTGCTGGACCCCAGTAAGAATAACTACATTTTCGTGCAATTAGCAGTACATTCTACTCCTTACATTTTAAAAATGCAAAAAAAAAAATAATTTCTATTTCATTCCAGCTTGTAATAGTTCAGAAAAAAATAATAAACTAGACATGGGTTTTTACGATGTAAAAATAAGTGTGCATTGCCATGCAGCATGGCTTTGCCTGCAGCATTGGACTTGCAGAATGAACTTTGATCAAGTTCAAATGTGTTTTCTATACTAGCTTGTGCCTGTCACGTCAGCAGGTGTTTGTATTTAAGGTAATTGTGTGACAATATGAAATTTGAAGAGATTTTTTTGATAAAGTTGCATTAGCTGGGTTTTGAACCCTGATC